TTTTTTTTTTTTTTTTTTTTTATTTTGGAAATTTGGGGTAAAGAATTTGCGTTTTGGGGAAAGATTGTTGAAAAGGTTTATGATACCTCTTCAAGTTGCAGTTCCTTTAACACTTGAGCTTGAAACAACTGGAGAGCATTCAATAGGAAGTCTTTCCTCCTGCACCTGAGTAGAACAGAAGTGAGCAGCTGTCCTTTCACTGCAACAGCAACCCACATGGCTCTGGCTGGAGGAAAAACAAAGAGTTATTTGAGCATCAGGGGTTTACAACCACCAGGTTGTAGCCCTGGGTGTTGGATAGGAGAAGTCCTCATACTGGAAGTCCTTTTCTCCTGAAGATAGCTAGAATCCCCAGATGCATCCCTCTTCAATTTGCAAGGATAGAAGGGAAAGGAGTATTATGGAATAGAGGGTTTGCCTTCTAGTAAGAACATGAACTGTAAACTTCAGTCAGGAGTCCCAGACACAATATTTGGAATACTTTTTTTTTTCAGCTACAGGTCCCATCAAGAACAAAGGACCTCTTCAGCAGTATTAAATTAGGGTGTGGTATCTGGACTGTCCATCCATCAGGACCCCAGATACTGTTATCCCACTCTTGACTTTGCTGTCTGGCTTTCATAATCACTACTTTGTCAATGAAGATGGACCTTCCTAGGCTCCAGTTCTCCTTGACAGAGAGGAATTCCTCCCATAACAGGGGTTTTGATCTGTTGTGGAAGGGCTTGGGTATGTACATGAAATCCCATACCGCTTCCTCACACTGGGAAATTCTCTTGGACTCAATTTCCTCCATCACCTTCCTTGGTGCATAGAGGTAACCATACCCATATTCCAAAGTTATTTTCCGCTGTACAATGTGCTGGGAGAGAGAGAATTTGGGCAGCTTCTGCCTAGCACCTCTTTTTGGTGCAGCATATGGAGTGCCCCCTTTGTGATGAGAATACTGTAGGCCTCATTCTCTGCTCAAGCCTGAGCATAATTTCTAGGAGGAAACAGACCAGGCCTCCTGTTGACATATGCTTTGCAGAAGCCCAAGTTTCTCGCACACACTGGGTGAGAATAGCATCTTCCTCCCCCTCCTCAGCAACTTCGTAAGCCCACTCAGCTTCCTTTGCTGACCCCCAGTCGCCAGTCCCTTCTTCCAAGGATCCATAGTGATGCTGAAAGTTAGGTGACCCTGTGTCAATGAGCCCCAGCCCTTCCTCTCCTGAAGAGCCTGAAGACATGAGCCTCTGCGCTCTGCAGGAACAGGGGCTTCCACTCACGGGTAGCTAATGGGAATGGCTGCGGAAGGGGCCCGTAGTTGTTCAGTCTGAGCTGGGTAGATGTCCCGCACAGAGACGACACTGGTCTCCCTGGTCTGGCAGATGGTAGAGCGGGGTATGCACCCCTGGTCCTCGCGCCCAGAAGTCTTTGCCTCGCATCAAGATCTTCCCTGGGAGCTGAACGAACAGCTGGAGCAAGCGGCACTTCTGCGCTGTACCCTGTCTCCCAGTCCACTTGCAGCAGTTTGGGCTGGCAGTCAGTCTTCACCCACTCTAGCAACATCTCTCCACAGTGGCCACACCGACCCCATGCATGCAGCTTCATGGTCACACACTGGCATCCGTCACATACCAGTCCCAAGTGATCTCCGTTTTCTCACTGGATAGGGCCAGACTCCCGCTGGGGATCAATAGCACTCCGGTGTCGGTCAGCCAAGCTGGAAATTCGCCACCTTTCTCGGCAGCTCCGGCAAGCACACCTTCTTCCGCCATGTAACTGCTCCTCACATGTGGCTCTCAGCTGCACCCGGAAAAGGTGGCTTGGCTCCGCCCCTCATCCTGGATTGGCCAACTTTGGGGCTGCCTCTGCTCACTCTTCCTGATTGGCAGATGCTCCGGTGGCAGCCCCTCCCGTTAAGCTGCTACAGGGCAGCACGGTTGCCCAAATCACATATACATATATATTTATATATACATGTGATTTTACATTTCCGGGTGGAGGGCGCTTACTCTCCGGCACTCAGTGATCGAGGAGAATTATCAACGGAGGGAGAGAGCTGTAAACAATACAGTTATCTCCCCTGTCAGCTCCTGCCCACTGTTCAGATTACAGTTGAAAGCACACACACAGCACACAGTAAAACAGCACACTGTTAACCCTTTGATCACCCCACATGTTAACCCCTTCCTGCCCAGTGCCATTAGTGCAGTGTCAGTGCTGTCAGTATAGTGTCTGGATGTCAGTGACATCAAGTCAGTTCCCCCCCAGTGTCAGAATGCCGCTATAAGTCACTGATTGCCGCCATTACGAGTTTTCCAGCTTTTTACCACATGCTATGGGTGAAGTCACGAGGTGGGCGTGGCGCAACGCGTCGGTACGTGGGGAGGAGCTTCCGGTGACATCATTTCCGGCGTGGGGGCCATATTGGATCACCCTGTTGAGTACACCCATGCAGTACACCCATAGAATGTGGTAAAAAGCTGGAAAACTCGTGGGCAAATGTGAGTGTAATACTTATTGTTGTTGTTTTAAATTTGATGCAATAAAAACCAGTTGCACTATGGAGGGTCTCTGTTTGTGTCTTATCATGATCCTGTGAGGAGCTGGCTGTTAGTCTGTTGGAGGCTGGAGACGTGAGGGGAAAGCCTGAGAGGGACCCATTCTGACAGGATCACTTGATCCTCAAAGCGTGTTGACCCTGTGGGGTCTAATGAAGGAGGTGAGGGGGTATTTTGGCTGGCAAAGGATTGGCACGTGTGTACCACGTATACGGCACATTATATATTCTTGCATGAAGAGTGAAGTGTGAGGATCATCACAAATTATCGTATTACTATTATTATATCATTTTGGACTTTTTGAATTGATTATTTGTTCACTAATTTTGTGCACCAGTATACATATTGTTTCACAATGTGCAAATAGGAGTGTGTTTGTCACTTTTTTCACTAAATATTCCCCGTGAGGGAATTCACGTATGACACAACTATTTTATTACTTATGTATTGATTTATCACCTTGGATATATATATGTAGGGGATGTATATAGAGTTTGTGCATTTTAACACGTAATTTGTTAGTATTATTAGCGCTACACTATTTATTTTAATTGATCATTCACTTACTTGGGTATAAGTTTGGTGTCGGCAGCTTTTGAAGGATAGGATTCCATTTAAGCGCAGGAGGTTGTTTTTGGAACATTGGGGTGTTTGCTTCTCAAAATGGGGCCATTTTGTGGGTAATTCCATTGTCCTGGTGCTCCATGGCCTTCAAAAGTGTAATAGGTAGTCAGGAAATTAAAGTTGTAATTTATACCCCTAGGACACCCGACGGTGCTCCTTGCATGTTCGGCCTCTCTATGTGGCTGGGCTGTGAAAAAGTCTCACACAAGTGGTATCCCCATACCCAGGAGCAGTTGCAGAATGTGTTTTGGGATGTAGTTGCAAGTATACATATCGTGTGAGAGAAATAACTTGTTAATATGACAATTTTGTGGAATAAAAAAATCTTCATTTTCAATAGAAATGTGGGGGAAAAAAATTACAACTTCAAAAAACTCACTATGCCCAAAAAGGGGTAATTTGGGGGGTATTTGTACTGTCCTGGCCTGTTAGTGTCATCATTTTTAAATCTTCATTTTCAATTGAACTGTGGGGAAAACATTACTTAAAAAAACTCACTATGCCCAAAAAGGGGTCATTTGGGGGGTATTTGTACTGTCCTAGCCTGTTAGTGTCATCATTTTTCAATGATTGGTACCATAGCTTGTAGACTCTATAACTTTCCCACAGACCAAATAATATAGACAGATTTAGGTTATTTTTAAGAAATGTAGCATTATAAATGTTGTCCAAAATGTATGAAGAAAAATTACTAAATTTTACAACAGAGACAAAGAAAAATGTGTGTGTGTGTGTGTGTGTGTGGGGGGTTTCAAATTTTGTGGTATTTTTTAATTTATAGCACAAAAAAAAAAAAACACAGTGCTGTCCAAATACCACCAAAAGAAAACTCTATTTGTGTGAAAAAAAAAGACAAAAATTTCATATGGGTACAGTTTTGCATGACTGTAATTGTCAGTCAAAGTATGAGAGCCCCTGAAAGCTGAAAATTGGTCTGGGCAGGAAGGGGGTATAAGTGCCCTGTAGGTAAGTGGTTAGAAACTGTAATTCTTAATGACACCCCCACGCATCTAAAATGCAGCACATCGTGGGTGCAGGAACTGCAGGGAAATCGCATGGTACAAAAGCACCATGTGATTCCCCGGCTGCTGCGTTTTAAAAATGCTGCAGGAACATTTTTCCCTGTGTGAAAAGCAGGCACTGCGGCCCATCAAATGAATGGGCTGCTGTACCCATGCAAATGCAGCCTGTAAAGCTGCATTAGTGTAAACCTAGTCTTAAAGAATGCTTTTGTTTTGTCTTTTTTTTTAAGTCAGGCCTCCTAGGGGCATCTGGTATTTTCTTGTCTTTCCTGCCTCTAAACCCTCTTGCATGTTTGCCTATGTGTCCATGCACATATAAGCTTTCAGATTAGCTTTTATCCCTGGTTCACACTGGATCCGACTTTGAAATCGTGCAACTTCACTTGAAGACGCATGTCAGTGTGATTTCAGGTGTGACTTGGATGATATCTGTGTGACTTCATGCACAGGTGTCTATGCAAGTTGCACCTGAAATTGCAAAAAATTGTGCAGGAACCTTTTTTCAAATTGGTGTGGCACCGAAATGTCAGAGTTGCACCAGTTTGGAAGGTCCCTTTGCTGACAATAGGGTGTGACTTGTCATGTGATTTGAAACTGTAAAATCACAAGACAAGTCACACCAGTGTGAACCAGGGCTTAGAAGCAGAATAAAACCCTATTGCCAGTGCTCCAGGAGCCGTGGTGTTTTGGCAGAAAAACACCTGACACGTGTAAACGCACATTAACTCTAGGCACGTATAGGGTTTGAGCAATATTTAATTTCAATGGCCAGCATAAATTAATATTCTGGCCAATTAAATGAATTAATGCCAGGGGCGGACTGACCATTTGGAAACTCGGGCAGTGCCCGAGGGCCCGGGGTCAGTAGGGGGCCCCATGAGATGCCCCTGGTACCTTTTTCATAGGCTTTTTTGAGTTTGGGCAAGGACACAGGGGCCCCATGATCCCCTATTGCCCAGGGGCCCCATGAGTTGTCAGTCCGCCCCTGATTAACGCTGAAGCGCTTGACATGGCTAAATGTGCCAAAACACGCTAAACGGATTTAGAAGCATCAAGTGTTTTTTCTGCCAAAATGCAGCTTCCAGGAGGAAAAACTTAAAATAGTGATCTAGCTTTTTCATTGAGCCACAATTGCTGGGCCTATATGACAGTTTCCAGTGTACATTGCTAGAGAAAAAGAAAATCAGCCACCACTGAAAAATGACAAAATCCTGGAATCATACTGACAATCACCGTAACCCAGTCATAGGTTTTCTGTTACCAGGTAAAGCCAAATGGGTACAGCTTGCGGGGAACTCACATTACACTGTTGTGTGCAGTGGGTCAGTGCTACATTAGTTTAACCACTAGCCTACTGGACACTGCTACTCCCTTCCTGCCCTGGCCAATTTTCAGCATTCAGTGCTGTTGCACTTTGAATGACAATTGCGCGGTCATGCAACATTGTACCCATATTAAATTTTTATCATTTTTTCACACAAATAGAGCTTTCTTTTGGTGGTATTTAATCGCCACTGGGGTTTTTATTTTTTTTGCACTGTAAATTAAAAAAGAGCAAAAAATTTAAAAAAAAAAAAGGTTTTCTTTGTTTCTATTATACAATTTTACTGCACTGATGTTTGTTGATGAGGCTGCTCTGATAGGCAGCACTAATGGGCACTGATTGGTGGCACTGATGAGGCACACTGATAAGTAGCACTGATGAGGCGGCCCTGGTGGGCATTGATGAGGAGGCACTGATGATGCAGTGATATGTGGCAATGATGGGCACTGATAGGCAGCACTGATAGGCAGTACTGATGGGAACTGATAGGCAGCACTGACAGGCGGCACTGACTCATAGCACTGACAAAGGGCACTGACGGGCAGTACTGTTGGGCACTGACGGGCGGCACTGATGGGCAGCACTGATGGGAGACACTGCTGGGCACTGACGGGTGGCACTGATGGGGAGCACTGATGGGCAGTACTGATAACCAGGGCACTGATAACCAGTGCCCTATTTATTAGTGCAGATCTCCCCTGTCACATTTGCCAGTTATCGGCAGTACTTTCCTCATGCTGTGACAGAATGAGGAAAGTGCAGCTGATTACCGGAAACTGTACTTACATTGTGATCTGCTGTGTCATTGGACACACCTGATCACGTGGTAAAAGGCCGCTGTGATTGTCCTTTTATCTTATCACGCGATCAGCAACCTGCATAGGACACAGCGATCATTTACCTACAGCACCGCGTGCGCACTGCTGGGGGCGGATTCTGGGAAAAAGTCCATGAACGCCCTCCCAGAACTGGACAACCGCGCTGTAGCGGTCTTTCGGCTATAGTGTGTGGTTGGGAAGCGGTTAAAGTGTTACTAAACCCAGGAGCCTGCATTCACTATATCTGGTCTCCCACAGTACACAGAACATGGAAATGCAATTATTTTAGAGCAGTCTTCTGACTTCTGTCAGTGTCCAGCTGAGTAATGGTTAAAGCTTGTAGGAGGAGTTTTCATTCTGCTCTGACTATCCTATGAGGCAGCATGACCCCTGACCCCCTGTCTGGACAGTGCTGATCACATGCACCCTCCCAAGAAAAAAATAACTCTTTAGCAATACACACTAAACTGAGTATGTGCAGAGTGACTCCTAGAGTTCAGTGCTGTCAGCAGATGGATTGGGGACAATAGAAGAAGGGGAGGATCAGAGAAGACAGGATCAAACAGTCTTTTTACACAATGCAGAGAATTAACCCCTTAGGTTCCACAGTGAGTATAGCAAGCATGCTTTACTGCATATACAGACTGATTATACTGCTGTCTGTTTAGTAACACTTTAATGCTACATCATTCATTGACAATACATACAGTTTAAAACATGAAATAAAATTAACCCAAAACCACTGTTCTTTAAAAAAAAAAAAAAGGAAAATAAAATTAGCTGTTGGATTCCTAAAAGGGACTAATACCACCAATAAATACTGTTTGATTGCATTTATTATTAGATATATATATTGAAAAATGATAACGTCATAAACAATACAATAAAAACTGAGTGGTTCAGCAGGCAATTTAGTAATGCTTTGCATGTGTAAAGCCTGTAAAGAGTAGACTTTTTGCAGATTATAAAGAATACCACTCTTAGCACTTCCTAAGCTTCCTATTTTTAACAAGCGACCCTCAAGAAGACTACTCATTAAAATGATTAATACTTTTGCACTTCATTGCATGTATTATTTTCTGCATGTCTCCTTGGCAACATTAAAGCCTGTCTGTTTCCTTTTTTTTTTTCATTTATCGCTTGCCTTTTGCAGGAAATACAGACTATCTCTGTGTAAAAGCATTGTTTATTTCTATAGGATGTGACAGATGTATTCAAGTGTGACTGCATACCAGTGAGAGGAGGGAAAGACTAAGCCATATTATGTTGTAGCAACTAGTAAATTGCTATAATTAAGCCATAACTCGGCCTTTTTTATTTATTTTTAGCTGGGATTCCTAAAGTTTCCTTGCAGAACAAATCACTCCACTCCACAATTGGAACAGCTGAAATGTTTCTTTTAGAAAAACTCCTAATTATGTTGAGCATGTAAATAACCCACTGCTGTTTCTGTGAAAATCACACGAGACAATAATAATAATAATGATAATAATAATATAAATCTCCAGCTTGACATACCAAAAAAAGTGTAGTTATAGATTTCCCCAATAGGGGACGCTAAGGGCCAATGCTCATAAATCGCACATTACTACAGAGGTAAAACTGAAAGAACCAATGCCTATAAAATTCTCATTTCAAAGCTGTTGAATGTGGCAAAGCAAATTCATGCTCAGACCTAAAAAATCTGAACTGCAAACACAAAATGACTGAAGCATTATGAAATTGTGTATGAATACGTGCTTATAAATATTCAAAACATGATACTCAATATCATAAATAAATTCAGTGAATCAAATTACTCACTTGTATACATTAACAGTGCTCCGATATAAATGTGAATTAAACTCAAAATTAACTTTGTGCAAGTTTGTGAAAAAAAAATCCAAATCAGTCCAATTCACCAGTAACATTGCTATGGGGCTACGGACCGCACCCGGGTGACACCTACCAGAGGGGTGACACCTCTTGGCCGGGACACCACCCCAGTGACTGATCTGCATCTCTCGCCTGCTGTCTCCCTGTCACACAGCAGAGCTTACATGTACAGGAGGAGGAACACTGCTGCACATGTCTTGCATTGATCTGAGGTTTGTTTGTACCAAGATTATTACATTGTAGATGGAAAGAGGAGGGAGACAGACTGATCAGGAAGGGGAGCAATTTAAAAATGATGGGGGAGTGATTATGGGGGGTGGAAGGTTAAGAGGATCTGTGATGGGGGGACTTTGAAAGGGAAGAGGACCTTCGCTAGAAGTGGGGGTTGGATTTAAAATCTGCCCCTCCCCACAAGAGTACAAGCCCTCTCCACTACCAAAGAGCTCCCCAGCACATATCCGACCCACCTACCTTCCTGCTAGCACAAATGGAGAGAGGGGTGTCTGTACTGAGGAAGGGGAGGGGTCTATACTAAGGGAGGGGGGTCTGTACTTAGTGGAGGGCGGATCTATACTGAGGGAGGGGGTCTGTACTGAGGAAGGGGAGGGGTCTATACTAAGGGAGGGGGGTCTGTACTTAGTGGAGGGCGGATCTATACTGAGGGAGGGGGTCTGTACTGAGGGAGGGGGTCTGTACTTAGTGAAGGGCGGATCTATACTGAGGGAGGGGGTCTGTACTGAGGAAGGGGAGGGGTCTATACTAAGGGAGGGGGGTCTGTACTTAGTGAAGGGTGGATCTATACTGAGGGAGGGGGTCTTGTACTGAGGGTGGGGAGTCTGTAAAGTCCAGGAGCCGTGATGTCACCCATAGGCTTCCATAGCCCAGCCATGGTCAGTACTCCTCTCCTCTGCAGAAGCTGCCTAGTGACAAAGGGAACAGGGAACTGTAGCATCACGTGACCAAACCTGAGCAGACTAAAATTTTGCAAGTACACACATCTATTTTTGCAGGATAAGTAGGAGAAGTGGGGAGGGAATATTATTAAGAAAAGTTGTAGTCAGGCTTTTCTTCCATTTTTAGTTACTTTTTGATTGGGGCTTAGTGGACCATTGTTTTTTACTAGAGAATTAATTGCCGCATCCATTGACAGTGGGGGAATTGGCATTTGAATTCAAATGTATTCTATTCGAAAGACAGTTATACTCTTTCTATTTTATTCTATTCTATTTTATTGTTATTCTATTCTCTTATTTTCTATTATTTTCCATTATATTCTTTTCCATTCTAATCTATTTGAATTCAAATTTATTCTATTCGAAATTCAAATTAAGGAAGATGGTTATATTCTTGCTATTTTATTATATTCTATTGAATTCTATTATTTTCTATTCTATTCCAATCTATTCTATTCTATTTGAATTTAAATGTATTCCATTTGAAATCCGAATTTTGGAAGACAGTTATATTATTTCTCTTTTATTCTATTCTATTTTTTTTTCTATTCTATTTTAATTCAAATTTATTCTAGTCAAAATTAAAATTTCGGAAGACAGTTATATTTTTTTTTTTTTTTTTATTTTATTCTATTATTAGTTTTTTCAATTCTATTCAATTCTTTTCAGATTCAAATTTGAGTCAAATTCGATTCAAATCCGAATTTAGTCCGAATTTTGTTTCATTATTTCAGTTTCGTTACTATTGTTATTCAAAAACACGCTTACAATCTCCAAATAATGAAAAATTTGACTGAATTTCAATTCAGAGCGAAGCAAACTGCAAATGCCTAATGTCAAAGGATTTAGATGAAATGGTTCCGGTGTCTGGTTGTGTACAAGGGCTCCATTCAAACTTATTGTAACTTGTTATACAACTTTGGACACTAAAGTTGTATGACAAGTCATACCCCAATGAAAACCATTCAAATATGTATGACTTAAAGTTGCAGCGACTTCAAAGTGGTTCATGCAT